TAGGGGCAATTGTGATCCTGTGGGTTCCCCTCAGCACTTGAGTGGTGTGTCTGCCGCATCCGAGTGTCGTCTTCCGGAGATTGGGAGCCGGGCCGGATTTCTTCCCGTTCTCCGTCGTCCGTCGGGATCTGGCTGACTCGGGCTCTCCTTTGCGACCGGCACCTCTTGGAGCGGTGGTAAGCGACGTAGCCGACCAGCGCCAATATGGACAAGGCCAGCAGCGTGCTGACCAGTAACAGCTCATTCCAGTATGTCTTCGCGGCAACGCCAGCCCACGGCAGCTGACCCTCCGTTCCCGCCGGCGTCTCGCGCGCCCCCACCTGGAGCGTGTAGCTCGCCAGCAAGGTCCTGAAACCATTCTCGGTCGCCCAGCACTCCCACAGGCCCTGCTGGCCCGTGGTAGCTACCAGCCACAAGCTAAAGGGTTGTTCGATCATCTCTGTCTCTGCTGCCCGCTCCCCATCATGAGTCCAGTTCTTCTGCGCCAGGTTGGATGGGACACGGCACGGCAAGCTGACCAGCGAGTTCTCCAGGACCGCCACCAAGACAGGCTCCGCAGGACCTGCTACGGGGACACAAACGGGTCGGACAAAATCATCGGCCGCACGCCCTAAACCAGTTGCCCACACCCCCCCCCCCCCCCCCCGTGTCTTACAAGGCCCCTCTCCTTTAACACCCGCCCCCCTCCCTCCCCCACTGGCCGCAGTGGGCAAGGGGGTGTCACAGGGCACTGGGCCGCAGGAGCCAGTCCCTGGAAACCCGGGTCCAACGCGATTACAAAAGCCAGCGGGGCATCAGGGAAACAGTTTCTCCAGAGCCCCATGTGACAGGAAGGGGCTGTTCGGCCCCTCAAACCTATCCCAGCTTTCCAGTGAAATCCTGGCTCACTTGTGGCCTAGCTCTGCGCTCGCTGCTGTCTCTCACTTCACAACAAAATGAAAAACGCGCCAGAGATAAAATAAATAATTAAGCTGGTATCCAACACTATTATTGGAAGAGGTCCCAAACGCCCCCCCTTTCCTTTTGGGGATAGAATTAGGTCAATTCTCAATTCCAATCTCCCATAACTCCCAGTCGAGCATCTCCCCCTCTGTTTTCCTAGTTACTGTTTGAATGGATGGTCCCCCCACCCCGGCGCCTCTATCAAATCCCAGCCAATACGAGCTTCTGCGTTCTGACCATCCCTGGGAATTACGCGTCGCTATTCGAATATGGTTCAGCGCGGTTATCGAGAACTCTGTCCCTCCCGGTCCTCGCCAGGACACAGCCGTCCAACCAAATCCCAACAAACAGCAAGTGGGTAGTAATAGGGAACAAGGCCTCTGCTCGATATCACACTCACAGATACACATCGTTACACAGAGAATAGGGGGACAGTCACACA